TGGTAGCATTAATAGAATAGCAAAGAACAAAGAGGAATGCATTGTCTGGTTATGTGCTGAAGAACTGAACAGTTGTTAATAAAAGCAAATCATTTAATATGATTTAAATCGATATTTGAATGAAACGTTCGGAAAGTATTTGATTTGATTGTTGTATTTCTGAGGCATTGAGTCGTGTCTCGCGCGACGAGAATAATACAAAGTTTGCAAACAATTAAAGGCTATTGAAATGAATAGAGATATAGTATTGAACACCAGTCCGTATGGCCAGTGCTTTCAATTAACAAATTATCTGTGTTTTTAAAATTTTACAATTTATAAACTTTTTACAACTTAGCATGTTCCTTTTAAAACTTATGTACTTATCATAGACTTATGTATCTTAATTTATTTAGTGTTTTATTAATATAGTGTGCATACATTTAGTAGTCTTTGTTTATAAAAGTTGTAAAAACATATTTATTTCAATTACTTTTATAAGTTCAAAATAGTTGTATGTTTGAATTGAAATTTATAAATCATTACTAAACTTACAAAATATTGATCAGGGACAATCATCTGTCAAATGCTGTGTTCAACAGACAGCGCACTCTCACTCTCACTAACACTTCACTCAATGTTTTTGTAAATTATAAACAATTCATTCAATGATATGTTAATCATATGAATGGCAATCAGTGTGTGATTTAGTGGACAATGTGTTCAACAGACAGCGCACTCTCACTCTCACTAACACTTCACTCAATGTTTTTGTAAATTATAAACAATTCATTCAATGATATGTTAATCATATGAATGGCAATCAGTGTGTGATTTAGTGGACAGTCATGTCGTTATCCAAACTCATAACAAGACATTCATCTTATAGTATATTTGCAAACAAATACCACTCCATTGGACACACGAATCGCTTTTTATGCCATTTAGTGGTGAATCGCAATCACATCTTAAGCCACAGCCGTATCACCGATTATGTGATCCACACGAAGAGGACATTCAAACAGAGGGATCGGTTCAGTCACGAGAAGGCATTGATAGGACTGCCCAGACATCGCATATACCCCCATATCTGCATACTCATGATGCTGACCATGATCTTTGATTGGGGCAACATTTGGGAGTATTATATCCCCGACTATATCACGGATCCAATTGAAGTGAAGTGGTATCAAATCGGAAGAATCATCCAAAAGATTTGTGGCGTTAAACGAGTCGATGCCCTCTCGATGGACAAGACCCACACCCATGAGGACACTGTGACCGACAAATCTGGCGGCAAATCACATAAGAAGGGGTTTCGCGACCGAAAGATCATTGGTTTGATATAATGCTAATTGTTTTGATTACTATTGTATTATTGATTATAAGTATTTCCTAATAAATGGTTACTTATTTTGATAACAGAATACGAAAATCGTGTCCGTTTGTACAGTAACCCTGATAAGATATTTCGATATTTTGCATCTTTGAAGATCATATATGACTCAAACGAAAGCCAGATCTTCATGACACCGGATGATGTACTGTCTATTT